TGATCCAAAATGCTACTACCAGAGTTTTAATGAGAGTTAGTAGGATACATCATGTCTCTCCAGTTTTAGCTTCTCTTTATTGGCTCCCTGTTGAATTCAGAATAGAATTCTAAATCTTACACCTAACCTACAAAGCCCTCAACAACCTAGCTCCATCTTCCATACTTTCCAAACAGAGCACTTCACACTCAGACAGTTTCCAAAAGTAGAATGGGAGGCTTTGTTGTTTTCAACCAGTTTGACACGACTGTCAACAAGGAAGAGGGCCGGCAATGGAGGAGGGGGCGTACCAAAGAAACCATCTTATCACAAGCAGAACTGGTTTGTTCCACTTTGGAGTAAGCTGTTGGGGGAAGAATCAGTTTTGTTGTGTGTTTCCTTGACTGATGAAGCCTTCCGGATCGAAGGCGAAACGTTTCAGCACAAAAAAAAGAAACTGTCCAGATGACCTGACTGAAAAATGTTGGAATGGGAGGCAGAGTTTTCAGTTATCATGCTCTTCTCTTGTGGAACCAACTCCCAGTTTCTGTCCATGATGCTGACATCTTGTCTTAGGCACAAGTCTTTCAGATAAATCCTATTATTAGGGTCGGCTTGGGTTTTCTGAGTTATCCCTAAGTTATGCTTCTATAGACTTAGACTGACAATTGACAACATTTCCTCACTGTGGTTCTGTCTTTCCTTGCTTTATTCTACCTGTTCTGTTAATAGCTGAAAGTACACCTGGACCTGACATTCTGTGCTCGTTTGTTTCTCCTTCGTGTCCTCAAACCCAGTCGCTCGAAGCAGATGGTCATTTGTCCTGGTTCTGTTGGAGGTTTCTTCCTGTTAAAATGGAGTTTGGTTTTTTTCCACTGTCTCCTTTGTGCTCAGGATGAGAGACTGTGACGAAGTGAAGATTCAACGCAATCAGCTGACTTCCTTAGATAGAGAATTTTTACTAACTGGCATTTATAATGTATGTGAAGGTTTCTGTTCAGTGTCCTGAGGTGACGTCTGTTGTGACTTGGTGCTATATAAATCAACTGAATGGAACTGAATTGTGGCAGTCCCCAACTAGTCTTTTTTAGCAGTTTGAAATGTTTATTTCTTTTAACTTGACAAAGAACAAGGAAACAAATCCTGGGACAATTTAGAAATATTTTAGAGACACATATTTTTTGGACACAACACGCACAAGAACGAGATTATTCTCACCAACACCACCAAAGGGGAGAGAGCTGAGTGTGTAGTGCATCATAACGTCATTGACCGTCACTCCTCCACTTGTGGTTTCCTCAATCATTCGTTTTATTGCCTAAGACCACGGGACGGGAGTGAGGGGATAAAAGCAGAGTAAGACACAGAAAAGCTTTAAAAGCTGCCTTAACATTTCTCTGTCTCACCTTCTTGTCTGAGCAGAAGATGTAGAGGGCCAGGGGTTTCTCTTTCTCGTTAATAAACTGAATGGCATCATCCATATCACTCACAGCCACTATGGGCAGCACAGGGCCGAAGATCTCTTCCTGCATCAGTCTGGAGTGGGGAGGCACATCCTTCAACACTGTAGGGGCTTTTTCAACACAGCGTCAACTTTCATTAGAACAAAACAAAGATGAATAAATTTGGCTGGATGAAGCGTTGAGAAGTAATAATTGTGTTCAAAAGTTTCCATCCAGTCATCATACACCAAAGTTAGTCATGGAGTTCCTCAAGGTTCAGTGCTTGGACCAATACTCTTTACCTTATGCAGTATATGTTTCCATTAGGTAAAGTTATTAAACAGTATGGGATAAATGTTCATTGTTATGCTGATGATACACAGTTATATTTGTCCATTAAACCCAATGAATCCAATCAGTTACTTAGACTACAAGCATGTCTTAAAGACATAAAAACCTGGATGACCCTTAATTTTCTCCTCTTGAACACAAAGACTGAGGTTTGGTTTTTGGACCCGAGCACCTTAGGAATTAATTTTTCAGTCTTTCTCCCTCCTTAGAGACATTAATCTGTCCTCCAGCTCTAAAGTTAAAAATCTTGGTGTTATTT